GACAATGCGACGTTTTATTGTCGACCGAGTGTATTAAAACAATAAACGACTCGGGTTTCTCAGCGGTCAGATAAAATCTGAGCGTTGACCAAAAAATATTTTTTTTTGGATTTTGCGGTGACTGATAAGTGTATGTGAACTTGGCACCGACCAACAGAGTTGGGTTTTAACAACGACTTACTTGCAAGATGCTTTGCGTTGACCAAGAATGACTTGGATTTTGTGGTTCGTTGGAGCTGTGAGAGCTTCAAGCGACCCTTTGCTAACGTTAGACGATGATCGGTCGTCCAACGTTAGGGACAGTGTTGACTCGTCAGGATGTCGGTGCTTCGAACGATGGTGGTGATCGTCTCAGTTTTGCGAAGAACGCAGGTTGAATCGAAGTCCGAACTTTTGACACCAATTATTATGTAGTAAGCCCGAAAAGGGGTTTTACATACATAAAGTATATGAGAACAAACGTAGACTTTTATAAATAAAAAACACTTTTTGGAAAATAAGTTTAATTGTTTAATAAGCACTGAATAAAATACGTTATAACTGACTGGCTGAAGACTGACAATTGTACAGAGAAATAGATAAGCTTAAATAGTAATATGTAAATTAGTAAATTGTAACAAACAACATAAACTAGGTTTAGAACAAGAGAAACTAGTATTAACAACAAATAACAAAGTTGTTAATTACTCAGATTGCAAAATAGCTAGTCAAGGAAGTAATATGAGACCTGAAAGATGTACGTCATAGTGACGTACATGATAAGTACGTAAATATATAATAATATAATAATATAATAAGTAATAAGTAATAAGTAATAAGTAATAAGTAATAAGTAAGCGTGTGCTTACTACAGTATTACCTTATACATATTTTGTTTTGAAATAGTTTTACTAGGTTTGTGAATTGGCCGTAATTTTCAGGCGTTGGGATGATTTTGTTGATTTCAGTATCCATCTGTGTCTTAAAACTTTCCCAGTCGACTTTTTTGAAATTATAGCGTCTTATCATCGGTACGTTTTCTGGGTGTATAATAGCATTTATTTGACATGTTATTGGTCTGTGCTGGAAATTTGGTATTGGTGTTACGACTTTCTTTTTGCATCGTTGTTTGATATTGCTACTCGCAATAATTATGTCCGGGTTATACCATCTTATCCATCTACCGCTGTTGAACGACGATGGGAGCTTTGTATCGTGTACTAAAGTTCGATCGTTTTCCTCTGCCCATTTCTCTACTTTTTCCCCATCTACGTTCATTTAATTGTAGCCCCAAATGCTGTTGTGACTGTTGAAATCGCCATTTACAATTTTTGTTCTTTGATTTTAGAAATTGATTAGCTTTGTAAGTTTAAATGGGATATTGGGCGGTTTATATATTGATGTGGCCGTACCATTTGTAACTTCTACTGTGAGAATTTCTAGGTCGTTGATTTCTGTATGACTTGTTGAGACGATCTTTAGATTATATCTTACAAATATCATACTTTCATATTTCTTATGTGGTCTCTCAATTGCCAGCTTCATTCCCCTTATCGTCGGACGGATGGTTGATGAAAAATTATATTATAAATATTTACAAGTAAGTTTTAAGTGGTCGGCATTGAAGAACACGGGCTTAGATTGAGAGTGAAAAAGAGTTTACAAAAAAACAAAAAAATTAGACACCCTCCAAAGTGTTGTTCAAAGTAGGCCACTGAAAGTGCATGTATCTTATATACCTATATTATACTAGTTTTCAGAAATGTTTTGGAATGATACGTCCAACTGGGCCATCGTTTTTCCATATATACTGTACGCTTGTATTCAGTGTTAAAGCCTCCGAAATCTGGAAACTGTTCGATTCTGGAAGTTTATGTATTTTCTTAACCAATATAATAAAGAAACTATGCGTAACAGCAATATTATGACTACACCGTCGTTTTAGGACAAAAAAATACATAACCTGTTTATCTATAACCATGATTGTAGGTATATGTGTCATCAGTAAAAAAAAAACATTGGTAAAATATAAAGATGAATAATTGTAATTTAATAACATGTTTAAATGGCCGACACAATAAACGCGGAGAGAAATTTTCAAATTTTGATCAATTTTAAGTGAGTATAACTATTTAATGTAAGAATAAAAATATAATTTTTTTCACCAATTCTTTTTTAAAACCAATTCTAAATAAATAGGATATTTTGAAAAAAAACATATCTATATAAACTTAAAACAAGTAAGTGCAACAAGAAACATGGTACTTATAGCGCGAATGAGTATAAATAAATTAAATTGAAAAAAACCTTAAAAATATTCACTAGATCAAAAGTTATTTCATTTGTCAAATCATTGTGGAACACCCTGTATAGACAGCTTAAACAGTTTTTAGAAGATATATTTAGAAAGAAATGACAACACCAATAAATTGGTAAGCCAAAATAATAACTAAGCCTAATGAAAAATAGCTCAAAACACCAAGTCCAAGTATGGGTTTTTTGAAATATTTATGAAATAAAATGTACAATGCAATTGTGTATACCATATGCTATACTCCCTCAAATCCAATTATGTTAAAAATCGTTTTAAAGAGTGATTTTAAATTATAATTAAGTCCGTTATGTAATATCTCAAAGTTTGTACAATTTTAAAAAGCTCATTCTCAAAACACCCATTTTTGGACTTCATGTGTTTTACGTGAACGGGAACGATATGTGTTATTAGATATAAGTATTACCTCGGTTAACTAAATCAACATAATTACGCGAACAACCTTAACCAAATATGTAAATAATTTTGGTTTAAAATCCTAATTCAATAATTGATCACATTCTCTCTTCTATTTTAACGTAACACCTGTCGACAAACGCTTGTGTCCCAGCATACGTTAAACGAAGATTTTCTGGTTTTGGACACTTGTCCGACGGACTGAAACGATAAGATCTGACCAATGTTGAGACGACAGATTTCATTTGACAAACATGTCATTCTCACAGAGAGAATTTGTAACGAAAATATTCACACCTATTTAACACTTAATTACATAATGTAGCACAGATAAAATATAGTGGTTGATATTGAAGGGTTACAATTTTTCGTTACTACATTTAAAGTTTCTTCACAGAACATAAAAAAAATATAATAATACTTAAGAACGTTAAAAACTATCATATGTTAATTATAACATTTTTTTTGATACAAAGAAGTAACATTGTTTCTCAAATTTTAACTATGGCCCAACTAAATAAATTAACCCAGCACAGCATTTTTTTTACCAGCTTAAATAATATAAACCACATTGTATGAAACAAAAATGTTAGTAAAAATAATTTTAAAAACATTTTTTGATCAGAAATTATTAATTCAAGTATGAAACGTTATTACAAATTTATTGTAAAACATCATGCATTTTTATGATGATATAACTGTCAGTAAATGTATTTAATCGACTTCTAATTTTCCAAATTAACCATCAATTGCGTTTTGAGACTTTGCCCGTCGTGTACCATTAAATAAATAAACAAATGCATTTTTTTAACATATCATATAAATTATATATTTGGTTAGAAAACGCTTAATTTATAACAAATTTAAAATATTTATAATTTTCACCACATCAGTTTGAACACGAAATATAAATGTTTTCAAATTAAATTAACAATTAAATACCTTAGGTTAAAAAAGAAAAACATTGTTGTTATTTTCGGAGGTTTAGTTATTTGCTTCTGTATTAAAACTCTTTCCAAAAACCATTGCAAATTTGTAACAATATTAAACAACTTATGGATAGTCACAACTAACAAACTAATACAAGGGTATTAAACCTACCCGGATTTTAACCCGTGGGTTTTTATTACCCGTTAAAAACCGTGAGACGTAGTACACACCTGTAAGTCTGTGGACTAGAGTCTGTAAATATTGAGATAAATTTAATTAAGCGAAAGGGGGGGGCCTCTTTTCGGCACTTCAATAATTGAGGTAATGCTATTTTCTGAATCTTGATTGATGTTTGAACAATACAAGAGCTGGAACATCTCTTTAGCTAAACAAATTACTAAGTTATTACACTTGAAGTGTTTTCCTTTTATATGCATTACTCCGAAGGGGACATATTGGCTTTTTATCACATATGTAATCTATTGAGATGAGTGTTTACAGCAGCTGTGGTGGTACCAGACGTTTTCACCGATAGACAAATATTTTCCCTAATAATTATAATCACAATAAGTAAATGTTCGTACTTACAATTAGTTACTTTTAGCGAAATTTCGATTTCTTTAAATTTTACAAAAGGCCCTAAGTATTAGAATTAGCGGATTTGCTCTTCCATATCTAGCTCATCCTCTTCTGCGTGGTTAAATCTCAGGACCCATCTAATGTTTTATTGTTTTTAAGTACACACGGGTACATTGTAGCTGATTAGAAAAAAGACAAAACATTATACGACCGAGTGGGGTGTGTGTGTATGTTTGTTTGAGCCGACATTATTCGTGTGCGAGTGTTTTAAACGAGTATTCCAATTAATGGTCAATGCAAGTGGAACCAGTTTTTTTCTTTCAAAGAGGCCTCCCGAAAAATAACACACACACACATACCGATATTCATAGACAAATACCATTAATTTCATCCTGTTTGTTTCCAGTTCTCGTATGCGCTGCACCGCGATGGTACGACGGTCAAGAGAGGAGGAAAAAGTGGGTCAACCCGCGTTATTATAACTCTGGAAACTGTTGATAATTATTATTATGGCACATTATCGGTGTTATTAAGGAAAAAAAATAGTTGATCGGTTTTTTAAAAATGTCAAATTTAAATATGAAGAGGATGCGGTGATAAATTTGATGCTTTGTGTGTCGTATGCGTATTATAAAAATATATAATAATTAATGTGTATTTTTTATCATTTTTTATCAGCTTCCAGATTATATTTGTTTATTGTTCTGTTGTCCCGTGTGCGCATTTCTATACCGGATATGGACTGATAAAACCGAGAGGGCCACAGTCAAACGTTCGGCGACACGTTCAGTGTTAGTGCACTTGTCTGTGGCCGGACCAGTTTTGGTATAGAGATATTAAATTTTAATCGAGTGTCGTTTGTTTTAGCACCAGAAAAATTATACAACAAAAACACACATAATAATAATATAGTAATGACCGTGTACTATTCGGTTGTCGTTGCCGTTTACTTGGCCGTCGGTTGTGGTCGCTTGCTGCCATCGGTCGCCAGGCTGGCAAAGAACGACGAAAAGTGTCCGGAAGTCCGAGCTAGAAGTAATTGCGACTTGGACGCCGTAAGCATGCGTTTTTTCACCGTCCAACTGACACAAATACATGGCTAGTATTTATAGGAGGAAAGGGGGTTAAAAATAGATTAAAATTTAGCAACGATTAATTCCCAAGCCAAAGCTAAGAGTTAAAACAGACAGATGAAACAGACTAAAGATAGGCTAGTTCCAGGTATTCTATTCTTCAATTCGAGAACGGAATTTAATATTATTATATGTACATCCATATTAAATTTCGGTGGATCGGTATTGCGACATTCACCACTCCGAGCCAAACCCCTAATATAACAAATTACATACACGCAGTATAGGCTGGTCAAGGTTAGGTACCTTAAAATGTTATTAATGCAAATTTATTCAAAGATAATAACATTCTGAATCAATTGTCACAGATGATGTTTTGAGAGCCTTGAGGATATACTACAAACACGGTTGTGAGAAAACATTCTGAACAGGTATTCCTAGAAAATGAAAAGTGGTTAGACAAGGGGGGGTCCATGATTAAGAGGCAGTTCATCCGCCCTCATACACGAAAGTCATTATCACCAAACAACCTCTCCAAATACCTGCTAGGAAAACCATTCAAAAATATATTTTTAAAAAAACGGGTTCTGTTGTATTGAAATAAAATATGAATAAACTAGCCAAACTGACTCCTAGACATTATATTGAAGCAATTTCTTCTTGATAGAAATATTTTCCAATTAATCTAATAAGAAAAGACATATCAGATAACAGGACATTTTTTAAGCTTGTTTTCTGTGTCCTAATGGTCAATGGATCAACTGGGGGTCCTCTATCCAAATAACGATAGCTAGAATAAAGTTGCTGGTTTAAAGTTAAGTTAAAAATATTTGATAAGTAACTGGCCATTGGGAAAAGTGTACAATAGAAAAAATCTGACAGATAACATGCAACATGTATATTTAATCAATGACATAAGTACGGCTATATTATATATTAATATTGGTTGGATTTAAGATTTCTTAGTGGGTATTTTTAACTTAAGTCTAATTTTATAATACAGCGAACTTGCGAGGGTTTGTGTGCTACCCACGACGTTTTTCGTTCTTCTTTCGCGTTTTATTTAAGACCACCGCTATGATCAATATTCTATTATTTAACCAAGGATCCTGTATGTATTCAGACTATATCTATACCTAGTATGGTTTAATGTTCGAATTTATTTATACATACAACCTTTTCATTATTTGAGATAAAACAAAATCTAATCGTAGTTGAAAGTATAAAAGCGAACATTTATTTATAAACATTCCTCCAGCCTACAAGTTTAAATATTAGTATTACAATTAATTAATAAGTACATTGGGGTTTTGACAGTTAATAAAAATGTTAATACTTTTTTTTTCTTTCGAATATTTATGAACGGTATATTAAAAATTTGTCTTAGTAAATAATGAGCAATGTCCAAAAACTATAAAAATGTACCCTATTCATAATGTTATATTTTAAAAAGACGGCTACCTAATTAACCGCGAATTAAACAATTTTTATTCAGGAAAATTAAATAAATGGGCCACCAGATATTTTTATTGTGAGTATTAAATTTGTGATTGCACCTGGGAGTTTATTACATCAGTAAATGGAAACTCTACATTATAATTATAAAACAATTTTTTTTTTTTACATATTGGATATTTTAAAATATTCTCATTACTAAAATAGCTTAAATCTAATTAAAATACTACTTAATTTTTAAAAACTGTAATAAGATATAATTAATGCGAAGGGTCACTAACTACAGTTGTGTTATTGTTCTTAATCGTTATTCTTTTGGTTCCATAATGATATGTGGGTTAATGTAAATAAAAAACACCCCGACCTTCTCCACAATTTTTGTTATAGCTGTACATTTTTATAGCGATCATTAATCAAAGATTTTATGTTAAGACCATTGCGGCATTTGAGATCGTTAAATTAAATTGAATAATGTTAATTTGCACAGTAATAAAAATATTTTTTAAGAATATGAGTTGGACTTGCGTTATAGACTTTATATAGATAGGTAATCAATGGCAAATGTTAAATGTCCAACTAAGTAATGTTTTTATATAAAACATAATATTAAGTCGTATTAAAAAAATAATAAAATTATTTTTGATTGTCTGTTATCAAGGCAAACATTAGTAAATAATTAACTTTTGCTTGATTTGTGATAAATGGTTTAGTTTTATTTAATGTATTATATTTTATAGCACAGGTGTATTCATCTGTCCCACTTGCGAGCTCAAATTGAACTTTGAGTCCCCAAGCAAAAGCTCTATTAGTTCTGGCCCCAAGAGTTTAGATTTTCGGGCATTTTACTTCTCGAACCAAATCTTCAGAAATGTAGCCTACAATTGTAACATTATACTTTTTCTTATTAATTATTTATATAATTTTTGTGAATAGTTTTCTTAAATAACGGGTTACTAACATTTTTAAATGAGCTACAGTATTTTAAGTCAAATAATGATGATTTATACATTTTTTTAAATAGTCGAATTGGGTCCTAAATTGTATAGAATATTATTAAGATATAGTACTATCGATAAACGTTGACAAACCAAAAAAAAAAAATCATAAACCCCTAGAAGAGGTGGAAACTTTTTATTTATTTCTCTTTTATTTACTTTTGGTATCCAGCTAATTTATATTGTATTCGAATTAGGTATGTTACATATAATAACAAAATAACATAAATCAGATTTCAATAAAATATGTTGTAATTACCAATTAGTAGTTAAACATTAATGGTTCGACTTGTTCCGTGAACTACAGACTACTGGCCAGAGATCATCACAAAATATGATTAAAAACAAATAAAAAACACGTTATACCTGAATAGTGTATGTTTAGAGCCTAAAGAGAATACGACTTATGGTTATTTATTTAATAACTAATGTGTACATTTTGTCTAGCGACATATCATAATATAATTTACCATCATTAGTTGTTTATCAGGTTATTTAATGTGAAAAGCTGAACAAATTGATCAAAGTCGAAACTTTAAACATAACAATATTTTTAGTATTAAAAATAAAAACAGATAATTTAATTTAATGTGTAGCACACTGTATTACCTTGACATTGAATATAATTATTGTTTTTTAGTCTTCTTTAGCATTTTTTTCGATTGTTGCAATAATTAATAACAACTTGTTTGCCAAAGTCTTATTAAAACCTTAAAAATCCTTTTTGTAAAGTATGTTACGATTTTATTTATACTCTATTCCACGAGATACCATGATAATTACGCCAATGATGTTGAATGTGAAGGCAATGCTACTGGTAACAGCGGATTCCCAAAAAAAAGGCATGTGGGCCAGTTACTATGGTGTGGTTGAGGATCCTCTTGGTGCAAGAATAAACAATAGATTCAAAATATAATTTGGCTAGGTGACGAAAGATGGGGATAAGATGGATAGATAGGTCTATAGTTAGAAACAAGAGAAGGATATGTATTCTATATAAAACAAAGGAATTTTACATACAAAGGCGTATTTTTTTAGTTAGCAGAACTGCTAAATCTAAAGGAGAATCTACACTCTGTTGTTGAGATCTACAGAAAAAAAATTAGAGGATTGATGGCTTAATTCTTTGGCAAATTTTCAGAAAGAGGAAGGGTTGAAAGAGTATGCGCCCAGTAACATTAATTAAGGCTTTGTAGCCAGACTTTGCTAAACTCTTAAATTGAACTCTGAGTTAAGATAAAACATGATAGTTTTACGATAGTCGAAGGGTTTAAAAGCAATGTGTGCACGTTTTCTGGATAATCAAGTTTTAAAGAGGAGAGGAAACCCAGCGGGGAAATTTAAGTGGCTTAAACATATTTTTAGGGATAAACATATTGATAGAGTGAAGAAGGGCATCATAAAATACAGAAGCAGTGTCAGTAACAGAATCTTGAGAGAAAGCTCCCAATTGAATAAATTAAAGGATTAGGATATGGCAGCGAAATCACCTACTTTAAAGTAGGTAGTTCTACTTTAAAATCTAAATAAACGTTAGTTTTGACTATGTCATGATCAGCTTGAAGAGGCAACTTAATATGATCAGGATAAGGTGATAGGAGTGTAGGCTGACCACAAGAGAGGCATCTATCCACTTGGGTAGTTTGTTAGAATCAGAAAAAACAAGGTCAAAAATACTATCATGATCTTTGAAAATGAAATGAAGTTAAAATAAATTAAGACAGGAGAAATAGACAGCAATAGAGAACGAGAGAGGAGTTAAGAAACTAAAGGTAGTGAGCCCCAACTCTTCACACTACCAAATTACACGAGGCAAGATCTCCACACAAAATAACGTATTGTGTTTGTAAGTGGACAAAATTATCTCTATGATAATTTTGAAGCCTGGTACTTACATTCTGGCAAAATATTTCTAAGTTAAAAGTATTAATAAAATAGCTACTATTTTGTTGATAGAGGATATTGACTTAGAGCAAACCGTACAATCAGAATTGTTAATTAAGCTAGTCCGAGAGCAGTCTGCCGTGTCTTACTAACTAGTTGTCTCAGTTTTTACTTATCAAAACGAATGCCCAATTTTGATAAAAAATAAATATTTATAAATTAGGTATGTTTTTTAGGTCACACTTATATTTCAACAAATTGTGTGATTTTATATTTTATGTTTTAATTGGTATATTTTACACTTATCTTGGTAAGTAAATGTATTTACAGTATTATTTTAAATAGATTTATTAGTACTTAAAATATTATTACACGTGAATACAAACTGTTTTTTCTCGAAATCCAAAACGGATCATTAATAACATTTTTTAAATTAAATAGTAATCTAATTTATCTATTTAAGCTATTAATTAAGGGGCAAAGGATAGGCAATATTTGTCATAAATTGATCTAGTAGCCATTTTAAGCATGCCTACCAATTTTAAGGTGAAAAATATTAAGTATTTTTAGGTTTATACAAGTTTGGTAAAAAATCACTTTCGTAGAAGTTCTGAATTTTTTTTCTGTGAAGCTTACTATTTTCTGTGTGGGACTCAAGGCCAATTTTTGATTTAACGATTAGAAAATTAGTAAGATTTCTAAAAAAAAAAACCAATAAAAAAAGTAAAAATATAATAAACGCTTATAGTAAATTTAAAAAACAAAAATACATAATCGGCCTTTTAGACCCCATAGAGAAGATATTGAATACAACAAAAAATAATTCCGTAGCCCACCCGGAGGCTATACAATGGCTATCCACTGTTTATAAGAAATAATTCGTGTTTAGATCTTCCACTGTAGAATTTGTTTCCTACTGGCAACTTTTCAATCTCCTCCGAGCCACTGATTGGGCTAGGTCCATGTTTTACTAGTGCACTGTGCAGCTATCTAATAACACAACATAATATTATTTTTTTATAAATCATAGTAACCAATACGGTTACACACGGTTAGATTATAACAATAATCGATGACATTTTGATTTCATGATGGCTTATAGATAAAAGGAACGTGGAACGTAATCGACTACTATGCCAGTTCGGAAGAAGCGCAGATCTACAGATGCATGAGATCCACGTTTAACTTGTCACCGGACGTTCCGGAAATATCCATGGACTTTACGTACAGCTATGTGGATGACCCGGACAACGAGCAGCTGTCCGGTAACATCACTTGGAACATACCGGACATGAGTCAACCCGGTCACTGGATACACATGGAGACCCCGTGTAAGACCTCGCCAACGTTTCATTTGATAACACACTTACACTGAATACCTATAAAATAAAATATGTTTCCACCGCTATTACGTAGAATTAAATTAAGAAAACAAAAAATAAGAGCGTGAAGATCAATACGCGGAATCGCATATTAGGAAGAGCGCGGTCGTCTATCGCCAATAAAAATAAACATAGTAGAATTCAATTCATTAAAAAAAATGTTAAATGCTAAGTGAGGAAAATGGTTAAAATATTGCATCACGTCAACTGGACCCTACTTGACACACTTTTTACAATATTTGTGTTTTTCGTGCCCGGAATTTTAAAGTGAAATTATCAAATTCATTGACATTACTTTATCGTCATGTAAGCTATTTAATTGGCATTTAAGCATTGTGTTAAAATATATGCTCTAATTTTATCTAAAACAAACAATTTTATTTTCAATATGTGACACTATTGCGAACGGGTTAGCCGCTTAATACCTAATAGTTGTAACATTTAATAAGGCTTTATTTGGGCCTATAGTAATAAAAATACTAATTAAATAACACGACTAATTAAATTTCATAAGCAACATTGAAATTGGAGACTAAACCAGTTAAACCTTCGTACGTTTCCTTCACTTCTTTTTTCCGCCAAAAAAAAATGTCTATAATTAGTCGATAAATGCATTGCGAAATGAGGTAATATTCAGCGAATAACGGATTTGAATCAGGGGCGACATTTCGGTTTTTCTTAGGGTGGGGCAAAATTTTTATCGGCCCAATGTCATTTACAAATATAAATATTTTTTCCAAACCACTTAGAAACAAAATAGTAATAACACAAATATTATAAGCCTTCATACCTATTATACTTGGTAGTCAGTTCAGACGGTTCATTATTAGTAAAGGCAGGTAGTTGCATAAAAAACAGATAATTTACGGCCTTACGTACCGAAAATTTGACCAGCCCGTAAAAATCAAGGGTTGGCCAAATGCCCCTGCCTGCCCCCCTCCCAAAATGATGCCACTGATTTGAATGAAACTTATAGTAATTAATTTTGAAACAAAATAAACGGACCGAGATAAGATTAGAGCTGTTTCCCACTGTGAACCATAACGCATAATATTTTAAATATTGAACAATGTCTTTAAGTGCACTCGTCTGACTCGCGTCGACCTTAGGACCCACGTTGTTACACATATTGTGTTTTTTTCCTCTTTTTTACTATTACTATTGTTACTCTAACCATTGTTGTTGTTGTTGTTGTTTGTCGAGCACAGACGAAGGCGTTTACAACACGTACGTGCTGGACTGTAAGGACACGTGGGCGGTGTTGCTCCATTGCGCGGAAAAGCCGTCCAGTCCGCGGTACCTGTCCACCATACTGCTGTCCAGGGACAAGGCGGTGCCGGTGAACGTGCGCAGTTACGTGCGAGGGAAATTGCCCAAGTACGGTGTGCAGCTCGAGTACACGTTTCCCATGGTCCAGGACGATTGCAGCCCAGCCGTGAATCCGCTGTACTACGGGACGCCCAATAATAAAGCGTCGCCCGCAAAGAAGGTCAAGAACCCGATGTCGCACGTGCACAACGCCGGCGAAACGGATACGCGCATTTAAATGATTTGGCCGCCCGGCCCTATGCCGAACGTCACTAATGTCACCAAATAGAGTGCACCTGTATAGTGTATATTATTATTATATATGTATGTGTTGACCAAGAGCCTGTATTGTTGCCTGTACACCCATTCGACCTAAACGCACACACTTTTTGGATTGGGCCTGTCGAAAAGAAATTTATCCGGCGCAGAGTATTTCGTTATAATTCCAACACACAAACTCACATCGACGCGTTTTTGGTGAAAGTAGTTTTTTTAATTTTTTAAACCAGTGATAAAACAGCAAAAGTCGATATGCTACGTTTTTGAAATAATAGGTATTTTAAATTGTGGACAAACGACGAATGATTTGATTAAATACCCATACATTAATACACAAACGATAATTCAATAACGACACGTCCATTGTATATGTAATCATATTTTGTACGCGATTATAACAAATTATGCATAGTGTTTTTATTAAATAACTTGAAATAGTTTGGGTTGTGTGAGCGTCATAAACGGCATAAAAAAAACAATAATGTTGTTGTTTGCACCAATGATCGAAATTACCTTTTATATTTTTACATGCTGTATAATGTTCTTCATAATCTTGAATTCTCAGATATTCAAGGGATCTGGGATGCCCATCAACAAACGTTCCCCGAAGCCTCTCATTCCCAAACAGATGCAATACTGTTATTTCAAGAGAGCGCAACATCCTATTTATTTCAACAATCGGTGTAGACAATTTTTTGCAAAAAAAAAAACATTTTAAAGCTTAATTCAAAAACGTTTATGGCTCAGTGGCATCTAAATATAATACGAAGGTAAATATATACATATGGAAAAATACTTAAATACGAATCCATGAGTATGAACATACTCAGGTGTGTTCATAAAAATGGGTAATATGTAGTTGTATACTTTCAACATGATGACAATAACAACGGGTTGATATTAATAACTGTAAAACAGATTTAGGTAAAATGTACTTTGTTTTGCACTACCTATAAAAAAATTGTCTAACCATCGTGAGTTATACTCAATAGCACTTAACTAAAGTGTCAAGTATTAATAAGGAGCGCAATGTTCTGTGGTTTGAGTTCGAGTTATAAGTACCTAGGTATTACGAGCATTGCAGTAATTTTAATTACACTTATTTGTGATAATATGCTTAATTCAGGAAAAAATAAAACTCATTTATTTATCTCAAAACAGGTACTTGTTAAGTTATAAAGCTAAACGATTATACTAAACTTTAATTTAATTATTCCATGTTACGTTTGTGATGAATAAAACTTAGTCACTCAAGTACTTTCAATATCCACATAGTTTTTAAACGTAAATCCAGCGCTTATACTAATATATCACCAGGGTGTTAGTAGCCTTGATTTGTATATGTAAAAAAACATATACAAATCAAAAAATTTTTAAAAAAATCGAGAAATTATGTCCTAAACACTGTGTTCTGTCAAAGTGTACTAGGAAATTCGGATAGATAATATTTTCGTGTCCAAATATTATATTATAGTATTTAATCTGACGATTTCTTCGTTAAAAACCTAACATACACATGTATACATGATGTATTTAGAGACGGTAAAACTGTAACACGCGGATATGGGTGTGTGTGATCTTGTTAGTCGGTTTTGACACGATGCCGAGGTTTGTGAATATACCGTACTTACAACTGCTGCTGCTGCTGTTAATCAATAGAGTACTAATAACCAGACGGCCGCAAACCGCACCACGTGTGTGGTCTCGATTATGATGTTATGTTATTGTGAATGATATCAATGGATCATTAACAAAATCGTATAAATGTATAGGTGTATATATTTATCTTGCCAGAACATTTTAACAATATTTTTATTAAACCGCGCATTTTAATAAATAACAAAAGGGTTTGGTCGAGCCTCGAGAACGGGCTTCGTGCCGCTTCCTAGTCTCAAGAAAGTTCTAAGAGCAGTTGCAATTCCTTGCCCGAAGTTTTGTCGTGTAAGCCATATGTGTGAGTGTGTGTGTGTATGTGTGAGGGAATACACAGAAGAAGATGAAGAGACGACGTTAAAAGTGGGTTACCGGGCCGACCAACTCGGTGGAATGCAGACTGACCACCCCTCCCGCCCAAGGTGCTTTCCCTCGCACCCGTGACCATATAACATGTATACACGCGGTTCGGACGGTTCCCCTTCCCCGGAGGCTATAATTTTTTCAACATTTTGTTGACGTTCAAGTGCCAATTTGGCGTATTTCTAAGTATAGTTTTATTGTGGACAAACAATTTTATATTTTCATCTATTTTGATTTTAAAGATATATATTTTTTTACCATAAAAGCATAAAAAACAACTTTGCTTTTAAAGGTATAGTATGAAATTAGTTTAGTACTAGTTAAGTAAAATGAAGTTACGGTTAATACTATTTAAACTTTAGAGGTAAAATAACTTTGAAAGTGGAAAAATCAATAAAAAGTATGTCTTTCTATGGATATATTTTAAAGATGTCAGTACAGCATATAATAGAATATAAAAAAGAAACAAGATTTGAGGTTGTTAGTTTAACTAAATATCAATACAACCAACTGTTTCGAAGCAGAAAATGACTTATTTATTAATGTATATTTAAATACTGGTAAAATTAAACATTACCTAATCTTTTATTGTTTTCGTAAAACCTATATGTAAATGCCACAAAAGCTCAAAAATGTTTTGGAGTGTAAAATTTACATCTACATAATTTTCAGCAATGTCTATATACATTTATTCAATTATACATTATTAAATTATGTATATTTTTGGGATAATAATTATAATAAATGTAAGATTTAAAAAAATGTTTAAATATCTCACAATCCATTGCTATACCTTAGGAATACTAATAGCTAAGAGACATGTTAATCTAGTTCTAATGGTATAAATACTATTTAACCGTATACAATTTATCAATAGAACTATTATTCTTACACAAATACTAGTGTATGCGACTTATGAATAAGTTTCTTGATATCAAATACTTATTCTTTGAAAACGTATTACCTTGTACATAAAAATTTCAGTTAATTAATAAGACTTAATATCGTTACCCTGCGAGGAAAAATCAGTGCAACATTAATTTATGCCGTACTTGGAAAGCTCAAAAATGTTTTAGTTGTATAGCTTTTAATTATTCCATTTGACTACCACTCATGTATTTCTCTGAGTACTTTAAAAAAAAGAATGTCAAATGCCATCTGATACATAAGTGTTTAAATGGTTATTTATTGTAGATATTTATTAATTAAATAGTCCTTTACCATTCATTATATTAAATTGTCATAATAATTTTAAATTATTTTAAAAAAGAACATCAGCAGCAGCAATCTCAAGCTCTCTATCTTTCCATCTGATGATTCTTTATGTTTCTGGTAAGTTCTTCATTTGTTGGATTGTAGTAAGAAAGCTTTTCCTGGATTTAAGTTGTAGTTGTTTTTTGCGAGTGATTTTTGTCTTAAGTGATGTTTTCGCAGTGATGTTTGAATGATAAAATTCGGTCTAGTGTGACGCCAAGGTATTTTGGGTATTTAGTATTTTTAATCTCAACACCTTCCCAGATTACTCTCATTGTTCGTTTTGCTTCTGATAGTTTTTAAGGATTCTCCGGTGGTGATTGTTTCTTCGGCAAAAGGATCATTGTTAAATTGTCTAATGTAATCTTCTAGTAGTTCCTTGTTTTCTTTCCCCGTCCCCAGAATATACTGCGTTCTGCAACCTCTTGGTATATTTTGTTTTGAAATAGTTTTACTAGGTTTGTGAAATGGCCGTAATTTTCAGGCGTTGGGATGATTTTGTTGATTTCGGTATCCATCTGTGTCTTAAAACTTTCCCAGTCGACTTTTTTGAAATTATAGCGTCTTATCATCGGTACGTTTTCTGGGTGTATAATAGCATTTATTTGACATGTTATTGGTCTGTGCTGGGAATTTGGTATTGGTGTTTCGACTTTCTTTTTGCACCGTTGTTTGATATTGCTACTCGCAATAATTATGTCCGGGTTATACCATATTAAAAAATATGCGTAACAGCAGTATTATGATTACACCGCCGTTTTAGGACAAAAAAATACATAACCTGTTTGTCTATAACCATGATGCTAGGTATACGTGTAGTCAGTAAAAAAAAAACATTGGTAAAATATAAAGATGAATAATTGTAATTTAATAACATGTTTAAATGGCCTACACAAACGCGGAAAAAAATTTTCAAATTTTCATAAATTTCAAATGACTATAACTTTTTAATGTAAGAATAAAAATACAAATTTTTTCGCCAATTCTTTTTAAAAACTATTCTAAAAAATAGGCTATTTTAAAAAAAAAAAAATATACATATAAAATTAAAACAAGTAAGTGCAACAAGAAACATGGTACTTATAGCGCGAATGAATATAAATAAATTCAACAAAAAAAAACTTTAAAAATATTCACTAGAACCAAAGTTATCTCATTTGTCGAATCATTGTGGAACACCCTGTATAGACAGCTTAAACAGTTTATAGAAGATATATTTTGAAAGAATTGAATACACCAACAAATTGGTAAGCCATACTAATAACTAAGCCTAATGAAAAATAGCGCAAAACACCAAAAGTCCAAGTATGGGTTTTTTGAGATATTTATGAAATAAAACGTACAATGCAATTGTGTATACCATATGCTATACTCCCTCAAATCCAATTATGTTAAAAATCGTTTTAAAGAGTGATTTTAAATTATAATTAAGTCCGTTATGTAATATCTCAAAGTTTGTACAACTTTAAAAAGCTCATTCTCAAAACACCCATTTTGGCTTACATGTGTTTTGCGTGAACGGGAACGACATGTGTTATTAGATATAAGTATTACCTCGGTTAACTAAATCAACATAATTACGCGAACAACCTTAACCAAATATGTAAATAATTCTGGTTTAAAATCCTAATTCAATAATTGATCACATTCTCTCTCTTTTATTTTAACGTTATTATTTTAGTTAACTAACTCCGATATACCTAAAACCTATAAAAATAACGAAACCTTAACCCATAAGATTACATAACTAATCAAATAACGATACCCAAATATGTAAATAATTTGTGTTCAAAACCCTGCTGCAATAATTGATTACGTTCTCTCTTCTATTTTAACGTAACACCCGTCGACAAACGCTTGTGTCCCAGCATACGTTAAACGAAGATTTTCTGGTTTTGGACACTTGTCCGACGGACTGAAACGATAAGATCTGACCAATGTTGAGACGACAGCTTTTATTTGGAGCATTGCATATTTCATACCAATGCAGTTCCTGTAACCACCGCTAAAAGGAAGGAACGAATACGGATGGCGACTGCGACATGCTTCGGGCAAGAAGTTGTCTGGATTAAACTTTTCTGGTTCCGGGTAAAAATTTGCATTTAAGTGTAAAAGCTGAGTGCAAATTATGAACGTTGACCCTGTAGATATTTTTAAAAATAAATTGTATTAGTAAATTTAAGCACCAAATGTGGCAATTTATCAAACGAATTTGTCTACGGCCGTACCTGCAGGGATTAAGTAGCCTCCGATAACA